TGATGAGTTTGTCCTTAATCAGGTAGGAAATTGATCTACCAAGTAAGTAGGCAAGATCTTTGCCACTGCAGCTAAAGCAAACAGACTAGGTACCTAAGAAATTACACATGACAGAGAGCAAAGTACTCTTTGCACACCAATACGAAGATGATTCACTCTGTGCACACCATCATTCTTGTACAAGAACTGAATTCAGTACTCACATTGTCTTCAAGCTTCCATGATCAAAAAGCAAAACCAAAGAAGTAACATACATGCAAGTGAGAGTCTAAGTACACAGTTCAAGAAGAGTTTCTGAGTGACAACACCGCTCCCAACAGAGGCATTCAGACAGAATACACATTCAGGATCACAGGTTAGTGCACACACATGTGCGCGCACACACACACACACACACCACTGTGGAACTCAAAACCCTCAACTTCATGAAGGTCTGCATAAAGGGGGCGTGCCTGAAGACAAAGCGCCACATTGTGTTCTGTTCCATGTTCCGTTCTACTATTGAGTACTAAGATTTATATTCTTTCACTCTTCAAAGTGGCAGCATCAAGTCAGATGTGGCAGGCAGGCTGAATGAGCTAAAACCAAACCACACCAAACTGAAGAAGCCAAAACCTACAGTTCCTGGTGCTGAGTTATCAAATTATCTCACACACACATACATCTCGGCTGTTTTCTTAAAAACTCAGAAAATCTTTCAACAGACATAAATTCCCAGTGCCACAACCTGCCAAGACTGAACAGGTGGTGTCACCTTCTTCCATCGGATCTCTGGCTTCCCTTCTTACCACACTCTTCCCCTCGTCTCACTCCTGTTACCTGCCTAACTCTGAACCCACTGGACTCCTGCCATGTGCACAGGCAGCAGCTCCCCATTTATTATTGTAGAGACACAAGAGTTAAGTGCTGAGCTGAATGGTGTAAATGAACCAAGTGTTAGGGAACACTCCTTCTACTTTAGGAATGAAGTGTTGCTCAATTCTGGTGTCATGACTCAGGTCTTGGAATCTGTTGAAGTTCCTTTTTTTGTTGTTGTTGTTTAAGATTAATTTATTTTTATTGGAAAGGCAGATATACAGAGAGGAGAAGAGACAGAGAGGAAGATCTTCCGCCTGCTGCTTCATTCCCTAAGTGGCTGCAATGGCTGGAGTTTGTGCTGATCTGAAGTTAGGAGCTTCTTCTGGGTCTCCCACACAGAGTCAGGGTCCCAAGGCTTTGGGCCAATTCTCTACTGCTTTCCTAGGCCACAAGCAGGGAGCTGGATGGGAAGTGGGGCCACCAGGATTATAACTGGTGCCCAAATGGGATCCCGGCACGTGCAAGGCGAAGACTTTAGCCACTAGATTACTGCGCCGGGCCCAAAGTTCTGTCTTTTGGCAGAAGTTCTGGAGCTCACATACAGAAACTGGAACTACATCACCGAGTCCTTGGGAGGCCCCAAGAGAGGCCACTGATTGCTGCTGGGCTCCCTCATGCATTGTATGTTACACACACACACACCATACATATCAATGATAACATATGAAATACAAAAGCACAAACATTTGGAAGAAGGTTCAAGCTTCTTCAGTAGAACACTGACATGGTCACGCCTTTCCTTTCACAGTAAACCATGAAATCCATGGGCTCCTAGCCAAGCACTGCCTCAGGCAAGGGGCTGTCCTGCATTATAGCAGCTCAGCCCTTGTGGCATGGCTCTGGCCACATGTGAGACAGAGATGAGAACAGCCACAGAAGCTTAGGTTCAGGAACTACCAGGTCCTGAGCACTCAATTCTTAGATGCGTGCAGGTGGTGCAGCCGACCGTCAGTGTATCTGTCTGCGCTGCTGCTCTTCAAAGATGCACGAGGGCTCTCTGCTTCACCAGAACCTATGAGGCCCTGTCACTGCATTACTGTCATGCCCTCTTGACTGTGGCTTTTGGAGGTGCTGTGCTGGCTCTGAATGTTCATCACCCTACGAGGCCACCCATGTGAAGGATGCGATTGAAATTCTTGCTTTAACAGCTAGAAATCAGGTAAGCAGAGGCATGGAATATATACGAAATCAATGATTTTCAGCTAAGAGACCTGGTAAGTTAAATTGCAGTAAAGACAGAAAATTCTGTAGCCAACAAAGAGAAAGGAATAGCATCCTAGTTAGCAGTGAGACGGAACAAACTGTCAATGGACCCAATGACCTGCACCAGTCTCAAGGGAAACAGGCCAAGTGGAAAAAGCCCAAAATCCCAAAATGTTATGTCCTATACAATGTCACATTTATCTTCTCTTAAATGATGAAATGACTGAAACGGAAAACTGGTTAGTAGTTGTCAAGGGTTGCAGATGGGGTGTGTGTATGGGGGAAGAGAGGAGAAATAGGAAGAAAGCAGAAGATACACAAACTCACACATAATAAGACTGTATACAAATATTACCATACCATATATTACACACCACAAATACAATTCAAATAATTTCTAAAAAAATATCCAGGAAATCTTACGACACCTTTGCAAAACTAAATAGCGGGAAAGAGGGAATATTTTATATATGATTCAAATGACCTCTAATGCGTAAAGGGAGAAAAAACCTGAAGGTAGCCATGTGCATAAAAGCCAGTTGAAAAGGTCACTAGAGCACAGTCACTGATTTCTTCTAGAAGAATATGAATGAAATGTACCTCTACACAGAGGCTTGAGGCTGAGGGCCACTGGGGAGGAACAGCTCACATGTACATCTTCTGCATTTTATGTAATGTGTGTTATTTATACATAAATCACTATCTTCTTTTGAATTTGTGGTCTGGCAACTGCTTCTTGGGATGGTTCATCCCCTCTTGGGTACCTACTTATCTTTTTTTTTTTTTTAAAGATTGATTCATTTGTTGGAGTCAGATGTACAGATAGGAGGAGAGACAGAGAGGAAGATCTTCCATCTGATAATTCACTCCCCAAGTGACCGCAACGGCCGATGCTATGCCAATCCGGAGCCAGGAGCCAGGGACTTCTTCCGGGTATCCCACACGGGTGCAGGGTCCCAAGGCTTTGGGCCATCCTCCACTGCTTTCCCAGGACACAACCAGGGAGCTGGATGGGAAGTGGAGCTGCTGGGATTAGAACCAGTGCCCATATGGGATCCTGGCGCGTTCAAGGCGAGGACTTTAGCCACTAGGCCACGCCGCCGGGCCCTGTAACTGATCTTGAACCTCCACACTAGTTCTGAAGCTCAGGGTCCCTGGCACATCAAAAGCAAGTGCCCATACTTCTCCAACTCAACACATGCTATATTATTTCATAAAGAGCAGTTCAGTCTACAGTAGCTGACTATAAAAAGAAACAACTATCTTCAGGCCAGATGGACATTTTGAATTTCAAAAGAGCATGTGAGAACAAGTGAAAACATAATCACGATACGTTGACAGCCACCGACTGTGGAGATGTCACCATATGCTTGTTAACAGTGCCAAGCAGCTTCCATGCATGATCTCAATTGAATCCTGGCAGCCAACCATTGTGATAGGTGTGTTTTACTATTTTCATTTTATAGTAAATGAGGACAAGGAATATAGATTTTTAAAAAAAGATTACTTAAGGTGTCAAAGCTTCTGAACGTGTACTGAAGTCTGTAAAAATGTGTATTCCATTTCATGGCTTAGTCAAACTCATTAAGTATTAGAAATTATGCCAGTCTTGAGCCTGGTGCAGTGGCCTAGCGGCAAAAGTCTTTGCTTTCAACACCCCAGGATCCCAAATGGGTGCTGGTTCTAATCCTGGCAGCTACAGTTCCCATCCAGCTCCCTGCTTGTGGCCTGGGAAAGCAGTCGAGGACGGCCCAAAGCCTTGAGACCCTGCACCTGCATGGGAGACCTGCAGGAAGTTCCTGGCTCCTGGCTTCGGATTAGCATAGCACTTGCCATTACGGTCACTTGGGGAGTGAATCATCAGACAGAAGATCTTCCTCTGGGTCTCTCCTCCTCTGTGTATATCTGACTTTGCAATAAAAATAAATCTTAAACAAAAAAGAAAAGAAATTATGCCAGAGTCTAAATAACTATCGAGACTTGTAGTAGGTGGGGCAAAATACTTAACAAAAAAGTTGGGGGACATCCAAAGAAAGAAATGCAAATTGAAATTTTTACTCAGTTCAGTTCAAAACTTAATACTTGGTTTCCAGATGAGAGAACACTCACTTTGGCTCAATCAGCGATCAAATTTCTTCCAATAAGGAAATATAACCAAACAAAAAAATGTAAGGTTTTACCTTTGTCAATAAACTTCTGGATGGATCACTGATATGGGAATCAAATCAACTTCCTAGAAATTACAGACATCAAATTAAATGTCAACAGACAGCATATTATTGATGGCTCCTGATTTCTATAATTTAGTCATTAAATTATTTTGTACACGTCAACTTAATTCTAAATAAGTGATTCCAAAATAGAAAAATAAATTTAAAACTCACCTACTAAGTTCCTTGTGTAGCAAGTTTACTAGTAGAGTTGAACCATGGAATTGAGAGACTATACATGAATGTTATTAAACAAATATGACATGCAAGATTGCCAGAAACTTTTCCTAAAGTCAGATTACTTTGTACTGACACAAGATATCATGAAAGATTTATAATAACAGCACGATTAAAATAAACATTTACAAACATACCAAGTAGTTTTCTGAGGTAAGAACAGTGTGAAATAACCAAATTTCTCCAAGGTACCCCTGCACTTTCTGCTCTATTCTGTTTCTAGTGTTAATACAAATTCAAAATCTATTTAACAATTTCATTACTGGACCAGCAAAATTAAGTATCAACTGATCACCTTAATTAAATACTGCTTTGTGTGTGTGTGTGTGTTTTTTTTTTTTGGGGGGGGTGCCTAACCTCTTTTCATTTTACAATGAGTTTATCTGTTACACCACTTTCCTATAGACAACACTGAGTTAATATCCTAAAATCATGTTAATCTAGATCTCCTAAAAACTGGATGATAATATTTCTACTTCTGAGGACTCTTCCACACCTCCTGATGTGAGTACAGACATAAACCTACAGCTGCAAGGCAAAATCATGATTCTGAAATGATTACCACTGCTTATCCTGCAGGCATTCTGAATACTTTCAGAACAGAGAGGGCAACCATCCTCAGCCTAGAAGAACACACAAGTTCCCATTTCTTCTGAACCAGAGAACACAGTTTGAAAGTTTTGCTTTTGATCACAACAGATATCAGGTAGCTTTAGTAAGCTGCAAATGAGTCTTCATATAATAACAATTCTATCTGGCTACCTTGTGATACATCCTTAGCCAACGAAATAAAGGCAGCTGAGAAAGATCAATGTGTAGAAACGTATTGCAGGCCAATAAGCAATCAACTGCTTATTAAATAGTACAAACAGTGGAAATTACTTTATGCAGCAAATTACACATTCAACATTGACTTGTTAATGAATTTAAAGTCTCTTATGGTTAAACATTCAAATTTCAGGGAACCACATAGAATTGGTCAGGATTTGGATTAAATTAAGCCTTCTGGACTATAAAACCAGGTTGTTGAACTCAAAGTGATACTACTAAGTGTTAGTAAATATTAACTCTATTTACACAATATTTGCTGTAGGCCATGACACTACAGAAAATTTGTCTGTAGCACAAAGATACTCAAAATATTGAAGTCTTCAGTGAATACATTTACCACCTGCTGAATTCAATTACAGAATGGAAACGGTGTTCAAGGAAGAAGGCTCTTCTCCATCTTCTTTCAGGTTAGAAGACGACTTTTTTTCCCTCTCTGCAGAATGAAAAAGGGGAAGAGCCCCTTTATGTAATGAAACGGGAACATTTGGGCTTTAGCTCTGTGTTTTGCACTCTGCGTGGAATTATAGCCACATGAAGGCAGAAGGCCATGCTCCCCAAGAATCGGCAATCTGGCAAGAACCCACAAACCTGACAGGTTTACAGGCTACACGCCAGAGGGCTCAGCAACTCCACTCTACTTCCATGCAATCTTGATTTTTAAAGTTCAAAATAAGGCAATAAGGTTGATTTCCATGAAGTATGGTAGTTCTTTCCACCAGGATTCAACATCAGATCAGGTGAAAACTCAAAGCCTAACAAAAATAAAGGGAGAAACCTGAAAGAAGAGAGGGAATAACAGCAAATGGACTCCAAAAACATTTAAGATAAAACATCACATCAATCAACAGACACACTGTAGGGAGCCCACAATATTTAACTTGGTCTCGGTCAGACTTCAAGACACAAAGATGAAATCAACTACAAAACAAAGACGAGTGTTTCTGAATGTCATCGGACCTTGTGTTATACAGTATGTGCTAACGAATCATAGCACTTTGAAATATCCAACGGGAAAGAAGTTTTGAGGATGTTCAGTTAGCATGTAATTAAGACACACCATATTATAGCAGTAATAAACATGAAACTAAGAAAACAAGAGAAATGGGCCCACTCCATATAGCCCATGAATCTCATTGGCTTTATCATGAAAGTTTATTGTTTTTAATTCTATTACAATCAGCTACCAGTTACATACAGTAAAAAACAAAACCGGTCACAAAGCAATGATGGTAGAGATAGTCTGTGACACTGTACAGTGGAGGAAATATTGTCTGTCGGAATCCTCCAGTGGACTCCCACTTGGTTTCAGTGCTTAAGCTATCACTCCCTCCCTCCCCAAAATAGTTAAAAAGAAAAATTAATGTCTTGCTTGGGTATAGCAAGATCCTAGAAACTCTTGGGGGCACTGAAGAACTTTAAAAAAATGAAAGCAGTAGAAACAAAACAGAACTGAAACGTGGAGGCAAGGTGACACACAAAGAAGCTCCGTGAGGCCTCAGCTTCAGGTCACCTCAAAGCGAACCACCTGGAAAGAAAAGACAAGATGGTCAGGCCAGGAGGGACAGCAGCCCTCCATCTCGCATCCAGCTACTCCTCCCCAGCTCTACAGTGTCCAAGCTCTCCTTAAGGCGTGTCTTTTTTCTAAGTGATCCAGACTGCAGAAGCATCCAGGATGCTTCGTTTTCTAATACTTTTGGCTATATCTATCAGCAACTAGTAATACTTACTCTTCGAGAACTAGAACCACAGGAAGAGGGCATTTCTAGCAAAGCATGCGGTCTTCTTTATCTCAAACCCTTTGAAGCAAACACACAGTAGGCCATTTGCAAACCTGTGCACTCTTACCTCAGAGAAACCATGACTCCGTTCAAACACTAAGTCTCAAATATATTTGGTTCGATTGAGGGCTTTTTCAGCCAGGTGACCACTTTCATCTGTGATCTTCTCCCAATCAGTCTGTCCGACCACAAAACCTATGGCCCTTTTCCTATCTGCATCCTTCTTTTCTTCCAGGTCTGCCCATCTCACCTAAAAAGAATATAGCATTAGGCTGGGCTTCAGAAAAATCAATATGCAAAAGGCCCCCTTCTCTCTGGACAAAGGGGCCAGATAACAAATTTGAAACCATAGTTTGGAAAACTTATCTGGAAGAGGTAGAGAAAGTCATTTAAGCCACACAGCACAAATTCTCTGGTCAATCACCAAGTCCTAGTTGTTTCAACTCACAAAGATCTCTGCTCCTGGCTCTCCCCTGTCCTTGCCATTTCCTCTGCCACTCCTTTGTAACTCAATGACTTCAGGACCAAGCACAATGCCTCAACAGCTAAATCCTCAAAATCCTCACCTTGTAACTTCCAGGATCCTGTACAGGTGCCAATTCCTCTCTCAGCTGCTCCACCTTCCATCCAGCTCTCTACCTACGGCCTGGGAAAGGAGCAGAGGATGGCCCAATACTTTGGGACCCTGCACCTGCATGGGAGACCTGGAAGAAGTTGCTGGCTTTGGATCAGGTCAGCTTTGGCCTTTGTGGCTGTTTGGGGAATGAACCAGTGGATGGAAGAATTTTCCCTCTTCTTCTTTCTGTAAATCTGATCTATCTTTCCAATAAAAAGAAATAAATCTTTAAGAAAAAAAAAAAAAGGAAAGAAACTAGGTTATTATGCCAGGCCCCTGATGTCAATTTTTTTAAGATTCATTTATTTCCACTGCAAAGTCAGATATACAGAAAAGAGAGACAGAGAGGAAGATCTTCCATCCGATGATTCACTCCCCAAGTGACTGCAACGGCTGGTGCTGTGCTGATTCGAAGCTGGGAGCCCGGAACCTCCTCCAGGTTTCCCACGCGGGTGCAGGGTCCCAAGGCTTCAGGCTATCCTCCACTGCTTTCCCAGGCCACAAGCAGGGAACTGGATGGAAAGTGTAGCTGCCAGAATTAGAACCAGCACCCATATGGGATCCCGGCACGTCAAAGGCAAGGACTTTTGCCGCTAGGCCACTGCACCAGGCCCTGATGTCAATTTTTGATGAGTGGCTTGAGAATTAAGATATTTGAAATTAAGACACAAGACAGGGGAAAAGAGTTAAGGAGGAGACATTTTAAAGGAATATACTGGACACCATTCAGATCTTTACTTTTCAACTTAAAACAAAAGAAAACCTAAAAAACTCCTACATGGGATTATTATATTTTTCAGTGCAGAGAATGGCAGTTTTACCTAGATAGAACTAATCAGAGAAAAATAGTCTTCATTTCAGATTATTCATTGTTACCCAACTACAGTGAGCTGTCATTTCCAAGGAGAGCCACCAGCATCCTGCATCGAGTGCCTGCTCCTTGCTGCTAATGTGCACTCTGCAAGGGAAGCAGCAGAGGATCGCTCTAGTACCTGTTATGGAGTTCCCTGGCTTTGGCCTCACCTAGCAGTGGCTGCTGGATATTTGGGGAATAAATCAGTAGATAGATGATTTCTCACTCACTCTCTGCATTTCAAATAAAGTGAAAATAAATTTTAAAAACAAACTGCAGTACCAGTCATCACTTAAGTAGTCCGTGGGGGGGTTGAGCACAAATGGAAGGCCATTAATGGCATCTACCTTCCCCATTCCCTTGAACTACACAGAAAACAGTTGGACACTGGACTTTCTGCAGTATTTGGAAGCTTTGAAACTTGGATTCTTTCAAATGGTATTCACTGTAACACTGTACTGCATTGTTGTTCACCATTTTAATTATCTTAAAATGAAATATTCCATTATTATTGAACACTGAGGAAATTCATAAAATACAAAGAAATGCTGCACAAACATGCACTATTAAGGAAATGCAAAATATCAGATTATCAAATGTGAAACAGTTTGATAACAGCAATAGTAGGCTAACTGTGAAACAACAGGCATTTACAGTTAAGTAAACAGGGCAAACAAATAGAAAATCTATTCAAGAGAATAATCTTTAAGTATGTCAGAAGGACAGCCTATGACCTGCAGCTTTAATGTTAAATATTCTCCTTAAGGATGTATTTACAAAAAGTTGTCAAGACACATGCACTATGATTCTCAATCAATGTTTGTGCTGGCAACAACAACAAAAAAATCAGTAAAAAAAATGTATAAATAACTGATTATACAATCAAACAATGGGACAATGCATTGCCTTTTACAAAGAACAGCAGATCTGTATAAATTTACACAAAGATCAAGGTGGGTAAGCTAAAACAAGTTTGTGTTCAACAGTATATGTACTTTGATCTCTGTTTTAAAGGACATTATAGAACTATCACTCTTACTGAATTTAATATCTGTGTAAAGATGCATCAAGTCCTGCCTTTATTTCTCTGCTCTCTCCCATAACAAAAAAATTTTAATCTTTTCTATTTATACTTTCTTTGTGCAAAATCATTCAGTCCAGTGGTTCTAAATATGATTTCCTCAAATTTTTCAGTCATGAATTTCGTGACTTCATACTAACAGCCTGACATCTTCTCTGAGGTTTCTTAGGTCCCTAGCTTAATGGCTGGTTTTCTCTCTCTTTTCTTTTTCCTTCTTCCTTTTTTTTTTTTTTTAAAGATTTATTTACTTTTTATCAGAAAGGCAAATTTATAGATGGAGAGACAGAAAGATCTTTCATCTGCTGGTTCGTTTGGCCGGAGCTGAGCCAATCTGAACCTAGAAGCCAGGAGGTTATTTTGGGTGCAGGGCCCCAAGGCTTTGGCCATCTTTTGCTGTTTTCCCAGGTTGCAAGCAGAGAGCTGGATGGGAAGTGGAGCAGCTAGGGACATGAACTGGTGCCCATACTGAACACCAGCACTTGCAAGTTGAACCATTGTGCTAACCCCGACTCTCCATTTTCTACCTTCAAGCTTATGACTCCAATTCTCAAACAATGCTCATGACCAGAACCTCCAGGAGTCACCAATGATCCCATCAATTCCTGGACCCTCCATCCTGAATCTGTTTAAGAAATCCCACAGATTCTCTTCAAGACCTGGCCCCTTTGCCCCGTGATGAAACGGCAACTCTCAACTCATTTAGGGTTGGCAACATGCTATTCATGTGAAGTTCTATTGTCCATTTTTAAGTTATTTCTACATTTGATTTAATAATCTGTAAGGCCTGACATTTCTTAGATGTGTACTAGGATACAGCATAAACTAAATTGCTCTTAAACAAAAAAAATTTGTTTCATTTTATGCCTGCAACTTTTTCAAACCAGATGCTTAAATTAACCCTTTATCTGTTGGCAGTTTCTTACAAAAAGTTTCTTACCCTCTTCTTCCCAGGCTCAGAAGCACGAGTATCATAGTCATCAGGCAGTTGAAGATAATCCTCCATTCTGCTGGCAATCGCCTCCCAGTCACGTTTCCTTTTAGTGCCAGTCCTCAAGCCATCCAACTTGTCTGGGGGATAAACACAGAGCCATGGCATTAAGGATGAGTGTGAGATAGCATACAACACATACACAGATGGAAAGAAGGTTGGGGTACTTTTGGAGGGCACAGCCACATGGCTGAGTGAAGCATCACTTGCAGATCCAAATTATCTTCTTGGGTGAGACCACATCAAGTTCTGTGCAACTACTATAGTTTGTCTGCTGTCTATCCATATAGTCATTATATCACGACAGTGGGCTAAGTAGCAAACATGAGCAAAGCACAAAGCAAGCAAAGGCACCTATGTCCTAGCCTTCTTGTCCTCTCACCCTCTAAAATCACAATTCAGCTCTAATATTCTGAAGGAAAGGCAAATTTTCCCCCAAAGACAACGGATTCCTTTTTTCTTTAATGCAGTATTAACACCACCCATTTGATCTTCAATCAGGAGTGATACAATGTTATACGAAAGCGAGACAGTACAAACAATTCAATGAGCCAAGCTAATGTTTAAGAAGGTTTAGATTAACAGCTTCTTAGGAATTTGGTTGTTGTGAGAATATACACCATGAATTAACATTTACAAATCAGCTGACTATATGAAATCACCACTTTCTTTGTTTAATACTGTGAAGTGTTGCTTAACATTCTGAGGCTAAAGGCTGGTTAGCCAAGTGACAAAATGTGATATTTCTCTCTGAACCCTGAATCTGGAAGGGCTATCCAGGGGCTAAAAGCTGTAATCAATTAAATAAAAAGGGATTGTGAATTCAGAAATTATGAGACATAAGTTTAGGAGTCCTACAGAAAACACAATGGAAATGTACCACATCTCTTTTACTGATGTTAATATTCAGTCTGAATATTATATATGGAATACTACGAGTCATACACATTTTTAGCTACACTGAAGTACTAAACTTTTGAATCATTTGAAGTTAGATAAACACACTATTGTTAAGCAGGCCAATAAAAAAGTCCCAAAACTACAGAAGCACATAATAACCACTTATCATCAAACTCCATAAAGGGTGAGAATGTATATAGCAAGTTGGACAGTATTTGATATGAAAAAAAAAAAAAGTGCAATGGAAGCAGTAGGCATAAGAAGGGTGAGTTTATATCTCAAACATAAAAGTTTCACACACAACTAACTGTGTAAGTCACAAAAACCAGCAAGATTTTTCATACTTGGCACAGTTTTTAGTTCTTAGGCCCTTCCCCCATAAATGCAATTAGCACTGAAAAATCAGTAAAGCAAATGACAACACTTTACAAAACTCAAGGAAATTTTATCATCTCATTTGGCAATATTTTAACATAGATGAATTTAGCAGAACCAGTCTTCTAATTCCTCTGTAAACCAACTGCTGTACCAAATGTGCATGGAAATGACACTGTACATGAGCTTAAACAAAGGATCCTTTAACTATACATGATATCTGACAATCAAGTCCCACAAACAAGAAATATGCTCTTTGATCAACGTGTACAGAAGTACTTGAAGAGCAGAAAACTCCAACACACTTAAACAGACCGCGAGAATTCCAAACTTAACACAATCAACTTTGTCATCAACATACTTCATAGGAAAAACCTTCACATCTCACGTTCAAGAACAGAACAGTCAGGCAGCAATGCAGAAGGGCAGTGTGAGCACTGCAGAACTTTCCCAGGCGCTGCAAACAGGATGGGAGTTACAGATCCCGAGTTTTGTATTTTTAATGCGGGAACTCAAAAAAGAAGATCCTTCTCTTGCGAATCTCCTTCTTTGAAAGGTTGACTTTCATATTTCATCCAAACATGCTTAACATTCCCTTCTTAGGGCTGAGGAACGGCTCACACCTTTTCCATAGGGCACACTGGAAACCCAAACACACAAAGGGGTGGCATAAGGTGGAGTATTAACCACACAGATGGATGGCATAAGGTGAGGCATTAACCGCAGAAAGAAGCCTGGTGTCCAATATCCTTACGTGAATGATGTTTTGGAGGCTTGAGTTTCAAAAGATGAAGTTTTAAGATCAGATGAAACTCTATATCTACCTTGAGAGGTCAGAGAACTTTATCACATCTTCTAAACAGCATATATATAAATATATATAATCAGGAAACAAACAAAAAATTTCTGTAGACCCATCTATGCATTTTCTAAATGTAAACAGTATTTGTGAAAATTGGTTCAAGGAGAACATACAAAAGCAATGTGCCTATACAAACAGCAATCATACTCTAACTATGAAAAAATAAATCTGCATGAAAGATAGAAGACCAACACACAAAACAACTCCTAGGTGATACAAATGTCACCGAGACGAGAAAAACAAAAGTACTTCATATGGAGAAACCGGACAGGATGAAACAGTCTCAAATATTCAAGTTCTTACAGTTAAGGAACTAAAATCATGTCGCTGGAATTTAAGTAACAAGAGTGTTGAATTCTAGCAAGCTGAATCCCACACTTGCAACAAGGTGACTGTATCATCTGGAGAGGAACCAGTCAGGCCTGCCTGGAGGTACTGCCTCCATCAATTACATGACATCTCCACCATCTGTGTCTCAGTCTTGTTCTCATTTGTTTTAAAAGCATGCCGTTTCCAATTTAGCATTTAGACATAGACTGAGCAGCATGCTGCTCTTGGTGAGCACTGAATAAGAATCTGCAAGGAATCCCAGCCAACTGTTTTAAAGATTTTAGATAAGTATTTTCTCACTGGCAGACTAATCCATGAATAGATGTTCCTCAGTGTCAGATTCTGTTCCATTGGCTCAATGTGGGCACCGCTAAACCTTAATTTTCCACCAAAGAATTAGAATGTTATCAGGAGCAATCCAAGAACATTGGTAAAGTACTCAGAAGAAAACATTTGTTCCTGAGGTACAATTTGTTATAAGGTAGATCATTTTTTATAAGGAAGACAATATATATAGGCAAAATCTCAGATGCAAGATTCTCAAGTTTTGAAGAACTTTTCAAGTTTTCAAGAGCTTTTTGAAGAATCTTTTTTTTTTTTAAGATTTATTTTTATTTTTATTGTAAAGGTGGATATACAGAGAGGAGAGACAGAGAAGATCCTCTGTCCGATGATTTACTCCCCAAGTGAGCGCAACGGCTGATGCTATGCCGATCCGAAGCCAGGAGCTTCTTCTGGGTCTCCCACATGGGTGCAGGGTCCCAAAGCCTTAGGCCGTCCTCGACTGCTTTCCCAGGCCACAGGCAGGGAGCTGGATGGGAAGTGGGGCTGCCGGGACTAGAACCGGCGTCCACATGGGATCCCGGGCATGCAAGGTGAGGACTTTAACCACTTGCGCCATTGCGCTGGACCCTTGAAGAATCTTTCAACAGGACCAATGGGCCAGTGTCAAAGAAGTAAGTACTTTCAAGAATGCGAACAATCTGCCTTCCTCCATAGCTGGATTAGTTCTCAAGGTAGTACTCATACAATTAGACAAGATCAAGCCCTTACATAAATACTAAAAACAAACAAACCTAACTGTAAACAGGATAAAATTTATTTTCTAGATCTATCACCAGACCTTTAGTGCCTTTAACTGAAGATTTATTTGATAAACTCATTTCTGGTATTCACTGTCCACCACTCAGCTTTTAAAATTGAATGTGTAGAAAATGAATTTTCTGAGAAGCAAATGGTAGATAAGCCAAATAATCCCCAGAAATTAATACCAGCATGATATCACATTTTTGGATAACATAATTCCATTTTCCTTTGTCCTAAAAACTAGACATGAAAGTAGAAAATGGACTGGCTCAAGAGTAAAAAAACATCCTCCCAAATTACACAATATAAATGTCTCTGAAGTGAATTTATTTTGCTAAAGTATTTATCATTTGCACAATCCCCTGGCGTATCTTTGTTGTGATATTTCCTTGATCCCCAAAATAACCACCAATTAGATAATATGAAGCTCTAAGAGTCTTACGGATTATTCTAAAAGTTACAGTTTCAAACAGTTTAATGTCAAAATAAGCAGAAGGCATTATTATTTTAAAAATTAACATGATTATTGTTTCTCTATTTAATCTCATTTTAACACAGAATTACTTCTACAGAAGAAAATAGGTGGTTATCAAAGGTTTCCCAAGATGAAAGACTGGCAGAATAATGTGCTGGGTAAGCACATGGAATTTTCACACCATGAAGTCCTACAAATACTTTATAACAAAGCACCTATCCAAATAATATAGCAATATTATAGTCTGTGGAACTATTTTTAACATCAACTGTTTAAAAAAAAATCGGGGCAAAATGAAAGCAATAATGTATGCAACTGTATTCCAAATGAACCCCTCCAACACCAGAAACACAGATAAACTGCTCAAATATGTGTGAATCCAAGACATTTGAAAGGTTCCTTCCATTTAGCAATGACAGTGTGATGCCAGACACTGAGATCGACAGCCATGCTTCATCTATCACTACGGTTCGTCTCCCAAAAAAGCCCTTAACATGTTTCCTCATATTTTTATTACCACAACTTAGCACGTTAAATGTTCAAATAAAGTAAAAAAGCAAAAAGCAAAAAAAAAAAAAAAAAAAAAACCCTATAAAAATGCTCTGCAGTTTCACTCCAAACTATTGGAGGAATCCTATAGATCCACGATTTTTCGCTCAGAGACATCCTCACATTGAAGTTTCATTTGGGCAAACACCTTAATCAGTATTGTGATCTGGCACTAAAGACAAAGAAAACTTAGCAGGTAATCTTATAAAGCGGGTTCCTCAAAAAATTTTATTCAGAAACTAAAGTATAAGGGAAAAAGCTCTTTTAATCTTAATATTTATTATTATTCTTATCATCACCCACAAGTTTTCATAATCAAGTTCAACTTTGGACTGCAGTTAATTAGCTTGAAAAAAATTCTCATCAGAACCAACATTTCTTATTAATATGAAAGAACAGATGTTAGAAGTGACATTTTTGTTACTAAATTTAACAAATATCCCTGATTACTTTAAAAACTTTAAATGACATTGAAGATAGGTCATTCAAAATAGTCTTTTATTTCACTGTTACAAGATGTAACTACTGACACCAAAAACTAGTGAAACAGACTAAAGGATGTAAGGCAGGTCAAGAATCTTGGTCTAAGCGGAAGTTTTGGGAAAACTTGTTCTTCTTACAGCAGAAAGATCTATGACCATTACCATGAGGTATCACATATAAAAACAGGAAAAAGGAAATACCCACCTAGCTTTGCCTCAGATGTGTCCATCTCCCATTTGCTTTTCGGAATGTAACCCTAAATCGTACACAGAGAGAAGCTCGAAGGGTTAGAAAGAGACACATACATGCATAAAACTTTTGAACTGGAAAAGCATTAAAACTGGGAATGGATTCAGTTTCCACTCAGTAGTTACAAAAATATCCTTAGGGCAAACACAATCTCATTATTTTTGAAGAGACCAAATTGCCAAATTCATCAGACTTCACTGCCCAGATTTCAGAGTAGGCAATTCAGAATGGTATAACAAAGGTGCTTTGAGGCAGTTACAGTTTAAGATTTTAAAAAAAAAGCCTGCAGTTGAACAACATCTGTACAGCAAATATTATAAATTGTACAGGTAGTTATTGTGGTAAGATTATTATTGCTCAGGCTATCAGAGTATTTGTCAATACCACCTAGGTTACTTCCTAAATACAACTGTTGTTTTCAAGTAAGTAGACATGAGGTCCGAAAAGCATTAAGACAGTAACTTTATGTTTTGATGTAATCTTAAGTACTCAAAAGAAAGGAGAAGGATTGCCAGCACTGAACCCAAATACTCAAGCTTGAAGTTCAACCTCATCTTAAAATGATTCAATTTACCAGTTAGGTCTTGCAAAAAGTGGTTATATTCAATCAACTGCCTTCGGCAATCTACAAAGGTAACTTATATCATACATTTCTTAAGAAAGCAGTCTATTCAAGCAAACTCCCAAAAGATTTTCCAATTTCCCATCGTGCCTACAGAACTAAGTATTAACTTATTCTGTTTAATCATCAGCTAGTGGATGCTTTTCCCATGTGATTTATCACAATGTCCTCTTTCTTCACTTGGACTGTTTTTCTGTTAGATTCTACTACACAAAAACTTAACAGAGCTACTAAACAGATTCATCAAAGTGTCAGCATCTTCTTTGATGAGCCACTCTGGCTCACTACTGTTGGGGATGTTCAGGTTCACAGAACAGACTGACACAGAGCTAAGTCAGAAAGCACGTTCAAGATTCAAGACAGTAGCATTAATGTAAGAGTTTGAAAGTATCATCACTATTCCAGGAAAACTATGGATTTTAAACATCTCTAATCTTTAAGCCAGTACTAATACTTCAATTCCAATTTACTTGGTTGTTATTTCAGGTTACAAATTGTCTCACTGTTTCCGAATACATCGTCTAGAATAAACCAAGACAAAGCTAGGCTGAAGTGAGGGTGCTCCAAGTACTGAGGAAACCTGCACAAGTTATGTCAGAAATCATTTGAAAACATTTAGAGTTATTATAGTAATATTTCGTAACTATTAGATTCATTGAGGTATTAAAGACGACAAACTTTCACACCAATGATTCCCCCCAAAAAGATTCTCTTTATTAAGAGAAGTGTTGCTTTAGCCCAGATCTATTAATGAGTCAGAATCAGAAAATTCAGAGTTTACTGAGAAGTCCATTAAACAGTCTGAATGACTTAAAAGCTTTCTCTTAACCCTTTGGTTAATATCCTCCAATAATCTTTTACTCTTGGACTAGCCTCCAACAGTAGAAGATCTGGATATTGCAACCTTCTAGGTTAAGGAAAGTTTCATGACAAAGTTAAGCAGAGGAATATATTAACATCTCCCTGCTGGAACCACCTTATTCTTCCTTAAAACTGCATCATCCTCCCACTGGTTTCAATGGTAGGTGATGAGAAAAAAGAGACAGTCCAGCAGGGTAGAAGTTGAAAGCTTCCTTGCCATGTTTCTGATGTAAAAATACAGTATTACAGTGTGTTTCACTTTTAAAAATACAACTAAATGCCATTTAAAGTAGTTTGAGCTACACCTAAACAAGTCAGATGTTAGGAATCCTACAGTGAACTGAAATCCCCAGAAATTGAAGAAAGAGCTGCAGAAAGCTAGAAAGCTACAGCATTAGACTTCTCACATAACTGTGTTCTGGCCCACACGCTGCAAATGGAATAGAGATCGTTAGCCATATTCCAGAACAGTGTGAACCTTTTAGTGGATTTCCGGCCTACAAGGAATGATGTGTGTCAAAATATAGCTTAATTACAAAAAATAGTTTTAAAAATAAAACAAACATAGTGAAACTCAAATGCCATTAACTTTAAAGCTTAGCTTTTAATCCATGTTTAAAACCTAGGAATGTAGAAATCGACACCATCTCTATATAATCACAGTTTCTCTCGAGAGTCCTTTACGTCACGCATGCACTTATTGGGACCACTCCTTGGAGATTGGCTATGTTCTACAGGGTAGCAAACAGGCTCCTGCTTTCTACATTTTCAGAAGAATGTGAGAAGCAACTTTAGCAAGGGCTGAGTTTTAAGTAAACCAAGTAGTATTCTGGATTTAAAAAGCAACACTATTTCAAGCCATTGCTACTCTTCGTACCTCAACAGCAAACATTGAAAAGTCAACATATCTCTACAGGCCGCATATTTTTGAATGACAGAGTAAGGCAAACATCTCTACAGCAGTGTCATCAAAAGTATTTATAGCAGGTACACAAGAACTTGGAATTCACACATTAAGCTTTTAATCAGTTTAACTAAAATCCATGCTCTACACAAATTATTTCCCATCACTTAACATGATAAAATGCAAAACAACAAATCCAGCAGCCAATGGCAACCCTCAGCCTCCTCATTCAATAAATTCTGCTCAGTTGTCAGAAACTCAATTTTGAAATCTCATAGTGAACAAGAAATAATCAGAAGTTAGATGGGTTACACCACATTATCTGCTGGAATGTAGTAAGCCCTTTAATATCTATGACTAATTTTTTTTAAAAAAGTATACTCCCCTACTAAAAATCACCACAAATATGAGTGCAAGGGCAAGTTTTTTAGCAGCCTGGAAGATTTTCTCTCAGCAACACAGTAGAGGATTCTTTTGGTTTGCAGAAAAGTAAAAACGATCCAAAAGTCTCCTTGATAATGATTATGGCAAACTTGCACCATTTAAATGTATATCAACAGTAGTGATCTGATCATAGATCAGAATTTAAACCCTTAATAATTCTAGTAAAGAGACACTTTGCTCAAAGTGGTTGGTCTGTCTCCTACCAGTTCGCTTTCCTCTTCTTCTGCATCTTTCTTTTCTTCCTTCTGCTCTTCAATATTTGCATCAAAATCTTCCATCTCCACCTACACCATGAAAATAATCATTTAGGAAAAAACCATGTTAACACTTAGGATAACGCTGAGATAGAATGAGAGCAGCAACAGTAGAGAGAAGGCAGGTTGGTCGAGTCATTTTAAACACCCAAATTCTGAAAGAGAACTGATAAAAAACAGAATGATACTTCAGCCTTTAGTTTTCCCTGGATATTTATCTTTTTAATTCCCTACATAAACTATAAAGCTCTGTTTTGAGAAAATGTCTCGTTATTTTAATTATCTATGGATTACCACAATTTCTTCTTAATATTTTTAGCATGTATTTTGCTAAGCAGGTAAAACAAAAAAATGATATGAAACTCAAAATATTAAAAAAAAATGTATAGTGAAAAGTAGGATGAAAGTAGCTAGGCACACATACACACACAAAAAAGTAGCTAGGCTCAGGAGAGCAGTAATGAATATTAGAGTAGAAGGAGTAGTAAAAATATTTGAAAAGAAAATATTTTAATTATTGAACTATATTAAATATATTTAAATGTATTAAGTATTTTAAATATTTTAAAACATAGTATTTCAGGTGTTTAAATTATTTTAAATATTTAAGAATATTTTAAATAGAAATTTTTAAAAAGCTGACAGCACTCGTTAACTGACCGCACAGTGGAAGGTCAGGGCTGACTGCACACTGCTCAGCATTCGAATGACTGCTGGATCTAATTACTAAAATCAAGAATAATAGCAAAGAAAAACATTTGGATGAATTACATTTTGGACAGGTTGTATTTGAGGTATACCAAGAAAATATATAGTCTTTTGGTAGAAAATTTTAAAAACAATCATAATTGTTAAGGAGTCGAGAGAATGCAAAGCACAGGGAGGAGGAAGATGGTCGTTGAGAAGAGTGACACAATGACAACAAAGAGGAAAATGGCAAATCTCCCCTTTTCCACGGTAAAATTCTCTTCCAACAAATTAACAGTTAATTCAGAAAAGTATTAATGACCTATGAAATGATGTTGGGGACAGAATATTAACCAAGTATTTGCTATGGATTACTTACTACTAAATAAAAGGTAGTGAAAAATCAAGAGACACTACCTAAACCAAATGATCAAATCACCAACAACAAAACAAAGCGACATCTTACAGCTTCCAGTACAACTCACTGAGGACATACCAGCAATAAGCAGCATTTCTGTAACTATTTAACCTAAACCTCAGCATGTACAACCAACCAACCAACGCTAAACTGAGCAGCACTCCGTCAGGCACCTAGCCAGTTCTCTTCAAAAGTTCTTATGTCTTTCATGACAGCTTCTCTCTACATTAAAAGAGGGACTGAATCCTGGAGTTGTGAAAATTGTTATGGATCTGGTGCAGTGGCCTAGCGTCTAAAATTCTTGCCTTGAACGCACTGGGACACCACAAGGGTGCCGGTTCTAATCTTGGCGGCCCCACTTCGCATCCGGTTTCTTGCCTGTGGCCTGGGAAGGCAGTCAAGGACAGCCCGAAGCCTTGGGACCCTGCACCCGTGTGGGAGACCTGGAAGAAGTTCCTGGCTCCTGGCTTTGGATTGGCACAGCACCAGCCGTTGCAGTCACTTGTGGAGTTAATCATCGAATGGAAGATCTTCCTCTCTATCTCCCCTCCACTATATATCTGACTTTGCAATAACAAATAAATAAATCTTAAAAAAAAAAAAAGAAAAGAAAATTGTTATAAAAGGAGCCCGGCACAGTAGCCTACTGGCTAAAGTTCTCACCTTACATGTACTAGAATCCCATATGTGCACTAGTTCATATCCTGGTGGCCCCACTTTCCACACAGCTTCCTGCTTGTGGCCTGGGAAAACAGTAAAGGATAACCCAAAGCCTTGGGACCCTGAATCCACCTGGGAGACCGCGAAGAAGCTCCTGGCTTCAGATCAGATCAGCTCTGGCCACCGGGGCCACCTGGGGAGTGAACTGCAGAAGGAAGATCTTTCCTTTCTGTCTCTTCTCCTCTCTGTAAATCTTTCAAGTAAATAAATAAATAAATCTTAAAAAAAAAATCACTCTAAAACACAGCATGAGGACAACTGACAAAATCTGAGCATGGCTACATGACAAGTTAATCCAGGGAATTTTTATTGCTTAATATAGTACAGTATCCATGTTACCTTTTTGGAATTTGATAATTAATTGGTTTAGGACCTCTCTTCTTGGGAGTTACATGCTAAAGTCTTTTTTTCTTTTTAAGATTTATTTTATTTTAATTACAAAGTCAGATATACAGAGAAGAGGAGAGACAGAGAGGAAGTGGAGCTGTCCGGATTAGAACTGGCGACTATATGGGATCCCAATGCATTCAAGGCGAGGCCCTTAGGCACTAGGCCACGCCGCCAGGCCCTACATGCTAAAGTCTTAGAGATGAAGGCTGTGCTTCCCTCTTAACTCTCAGATGGTCCCACAACAATAATGACATTAATAAAAATAATAAACAGAAAAACATTAACAGATGGTGAATTTCAATTAAAGTTTTACAGGCGTTTTCACATTTTACATGTGACTTTTCTGTAAGATTCTTAGCGCAAAAATGTGGAGTAAAAGCTTGTTGTGCAATGCTTTCGAGCTGCAGTCACTTACTTCTTCAATAGCAGCATCCTGCAGCAAAGAACGAATGTCCAGGCGCATCATGTGCCGAGGCGCAGCTTCCCAGTGGTCGGCCATCTAGGGACATTCAGTTACGTTACTTCTACAGTGCTTGGGAAACTCCGCAAACAAAGACCCCGTGAGCATCCCAGATATACTTAACTAATACCAGGCCACACCTTTTTACAAAAAGAAAAAATTACAAATAAAAACATTTACTAAAGCAACTAGAAAAGATATTCTGAAGGATAAAGAAGAGGTTCCAGATAGCAATGCTCATGTCAATAAAATGAAGTTTAGTGTGCTCCACCACAGTATGTGTCTGAAAATCACCTTATTTATTTCTTTAAGTTTTCTTCCATGAATATTTCTCTTGCCACAAGTCTGGTTATCTGCACTCATTTCAGCCAAATACACCTATGCAAGAATGAGAAATGATTAAGAAATATTCACTTACATAGTAATACAAACGCTTGGAAGATCTCTTAATACCATACCTCAAATCCTTTAGTTTTTGCTGCACTCCAAAACTGGTCAAAATGTCGTACTCTGTCATTGATGGCATCCAGAATGATGAAGGGGAAAAAGCCATCGTCCAGAGTCTTTTTGAAGGTTTTGAACATGCTGGTGCGGTAGGTCTCTTCCATCTCCGCTTCATACTCATACTCCATTACCTATGAACCCCCAAGAGAGAGCTGGCATTAGCAAAAGCAAAGAATCATCTTAAACCCCTTCCTCAGTTTAGTATAAGGATACAGATGACTTTACAGTCCGTCACTCACCCCTAAGTTATAAAATTCAGATTCAGGGGCCCAGTGTGGTAGCCTAGCGGCTCAAGTCCTTGCCTTGTACATGCCTCTGGGAACCCATGTGGACGCAGGTTCTAATCTCGGCAGCCCTGTTTCCCAACCAGCTCCCTGCTTCTAGCCTGGGAAAGCAGTGGAGGACAGCCCAAAGCCTTGAGACCCTACACCCACGTGGGAGACCTAGAAGAGCTCCTGGCTCCTGGCTTCAGATCGGCACAGCTCTAGCCATTGTGGCTGCTTGGGGAATGAATCAACGGATGGAAGATCTTCCTCTCTGTCTTTCCTCCTCTCTGTATATCTGCCTTTCCAATAAAGACAAATAAATCTTTAAAAAAAAAAGTTCAGGTTCAGAAAAGAAAGAAGTTTTTGTCTTCAAATATGTCCCCTCTCTCTCCAGGCACTTTTTCCTTTATGTACTATTAGTGAATCAGAGTGTGATTCAAGAGGAACACCTCACCTTCTTTTTCACTTTCTTTCCAGAATCTGGATCCTTTTCTTCTTTTTCCACTTCAGTGATGAAGTAGTCATCCAAGCTTAGAACTCTGGGTGCTGGTCCTCCAAATTCTACCTCCTTATCCTAAGAAGCACATAGTTAAGAAGGTTAAAATGAATTACAGAACAAATTAATGTTCACATCAAAGTTCCTTCTCATGGTGAAAGAATACACAATCTGGGTGATTCCAACAGAAGCACATACACTTATCTAAGTTTGATGCAGCAGTTAACATGTCACTTAGGATACACACACCCCTTGTCGGAGTGCCTGGCTCGAGTCTTAGTTCCACTTCTGATTTTGTGCTTCCTCCTCATGCATACCCTGGGAGGCAGTAGGTGATAGCTCAAGAGCCTGGCTCCCAACCACACATGTGGAAAACCCAGAATAAATTCTACATTCCCAGCTTTGGCGTGGCCCAGTCCTTTTTGGGGGCACCTGGAAAGTGAATCAGAGGATGGAAGAGCTCTTCTCTCTGCCTTTCAAACAAAATTAAACTAATTTAAATGAGTATCAGGGGCCATAGGTCAATTGAGAGTTACCTAAGTCAACCTAACTCTGCTTACTAAGAAAGCCAAGTGGCTAACACAAGCAACTGGCTTAGTTAGCTTTCACATACTCACTCGAATAAGCTTTGCAACATGAGTCTTCCCGCTGCCAGGCAATCCTCTCATTATAACAACAATCTGAAACAAAACAGATCAAAAAAGTCACTTAGATACTCGTTTTGCAGTAAGAGCTCAGTTAACAATGATCTGTCCTCACCAAATGATCACACAACAGGTCACGAACCAAATCTTCCCACGTTGAGAGGGAAGTAATTGAGTTAAGTTATCTGACCATATGGAATGAGATCAGAAAGTAACTGGGGTAGGGGAAGGGGACAGTAATGCTGTACAACAGGGTAAGTCGCCAGCTGGGATGCTGACATTCCACAGTGGAGTATCAGTCAAGTTCCAGCTGCTCTCCACTAACAAACTTAGGAAAATAGAAAACAATGGTGGAAGTAGTTAGGTCCCTGCTACCCCATGTGAGAAATCAGGATGGAGTTCCTGGAACCAGATTTCAGTTTGACCCAACCCTGGTTGCTGTGGTTATCTGGCAAAGGAACCAGTGGATCCAAGGTCTCTGCCTCAGTCTTTCTCCCTCTTTATAAGCCAGTTAAAAAAAAAAGTAACAGGAGAAAAAAAAAAAACCTGGTAAAATTACAAAATATGTGGAAATAATACATTCCTAAAAAATCGTTGATCCAAACCACAACAGAAATTAGGAGTTACTCAGAGAAAAACAAAAATGAAAATATAACACCAAAACTATGTATGGGATGAAACTAAGACAACCATTTGAAGGAAAACTTAGGCTGGTGTTGATGCTCTACTGGCACCTCCTTTCAGTTACGGCATAGTGGATTAAGCTACAGTCATCTGTGATGTCAGCACCCTATACTGGAACGCTAGTTCAAGTTCTATCTGCTCTGCTTCCAATCCAGCTCCCTGTTATTTACCTGGGAAGGCAGCTAAAGATTGTCCTAGTACTCACACACTTTCCAGCTCCTGGCTTCCCTGTCATGGCCATGTGAGGAATGAACAGGCAGATGAAGTACTCATCTGGGTACAACTGCTGGAGCTGAGACATTCTAAACCCAGAACCCAGGAGCTTCCATGTCTCCTATGTGGGTGCAGGAGCCCAAGGATCTGGACCATCTTCTGCTGCTTTCCCAGGTTGTATGCAGAGAACTGATCAGAAGTGGAACAGCTGCGACACAAACAAGTGACCATATAGGATGTTGGCACTGTGGATGAAGGATTGGTCTAATACGCTTCCATGCTGCCCTCCACCCCCACCCCACTGTTCCACTTTAGATCCAGCTTCCTGTTAGTGGACCTGGATAGGAAGCAAAAGATTGTCCAAGTGTTGGGCCCTGGACACCTGCATGGGAGACCACAAGTGTTCCTTCTCCTATTGCGATCATCAAAGGAGTGAACCACTAGGTGCAAGATATTCTATTTCTTCCTCTCTCTGTCATCTTGCCTTTCAAATAAATAATTCTTAGAAAAGCAAAGAATACCATGACCAACAGAATTTATTTCAGGGATGCAAGTTAACATGCAAAATTAATTAATATGGACTGTAAAGAGTGGCCCCTCCACTTCCTTCCAGTGGACACGGGAGAAAAAAAGTTGAAACTTTTGCTCCACTCTCTTCAACCTAATCAGAGATCCAGAGACCCTCTCAACTAGGTAAACAATATTAAAAATAAAGATACAATACCAATAGACTATAAAATAAAAACAAGCATGTTAAATTGATGCAAAATAAGGCATTCAATAAAATCTAATTTCCTTTCATTGTAAAAACATTCACCAGACTAAAAATAGAACTTTCTTAACCTGATAAAATGCATCTCTGAAAATCTATAGCTAACACCATCCTTAATGGTAAAAGAGAAGATGCCTAAGATCACAAGTCCATTTTTGCCACATATATTCATTACTATGCTCGAAGGTTTAGTCAGAGGAAGAAAAGGCGTTCAATGTAGAAATGAAGAAGGAGAACTGCATTTCCAGATGATAGGCAGAAATCCTAATAGAATTCAATAAAAACCTGCTACAACTGACAAGCGAGTTCAGCAATGCTATAGAAAGCAAAATGGGCACACAAGTCAAATGTATTGTTATACACTGCACTTGCAATAATCCAAACAGTGAAATCAATCAATTATATATTTAAAATGTGAACAAGAAATCGATTAAGCAACACACTCAAAAGATGCAGGCCTCTGACTGCATAAAAAAATACAACCCAATTAATTTTTTCCTACAGGAGACATATTTCACAAAGACAGGAAGAAACTGGAAGTAAAAGAATGGTGGAAGACATACAGTAGTACCCCTTTAACCACGGGGAATACATTCCAAGACCCTCAGTAGAACACTACTGAATCCTCTATACAAGCACTGTAATACTGTGACAGCTGATGTGATAACCAAGAGAACTAATTAAACAACTAACAGGTGAACAGCATATATAGCAAAGAAAAACTGGGTAAAATTATGGTTTGCTTCCTGAGTAGGACTGGCAGAAGATATCATCACACTACTGTAGAATGATTTATTCCTGGAACTTCTTAATACTTTACTTTTACTGCTGACGATGGGCAGTAAAAACTAAGAAAAGACAAAGTGGACTTCCATATCATGCAAGCAGTAAACACAGAATAGATGAAGTAGCCAAGCATTAAGCCTGCAACAGACTTTAAAGATTTCTCTTGTGATACGTAAGCACACTTGTCAGCTGAGACGAACTCACTCTTTCTGGTCGGCTTTCTCGGCCTGGTGGCTTCAGAATGTCATCCACATTCTTTGACTCAGGCTTCTTTTCAACCCGAGGAGCTGGAGGCGGCTGATGGCTTAGCGAAGGGGCAGGCAAAGGCATCCGCTCCTCTGGGTAAGTCCTCCGTTCTCCTAGGATCCCAGCAGTCGAGCAAAATTAATATTTATACTATAATTATCCTGAACATGAGTAAGGAGGTGATTGTCTTCTTGGAACTGTATTTATGAAATGCACAAAAACCTGTTCTCTTTATATATAAATAATAAAAGTTCATACAATACTATCACGTCTGTATTATGTAACAGTGTTATTTTATTATATTCATAACTTTCCGTAAAACAGCTATCCCCAACTTATCTTAATCAGAATTTACCTTGAGCGAAATTTATATCAAGTTTTAATGGTTCAAGAGCTACTTTTAATAAATAGAAAAGATTAATATAATTCCACGGAAATCAAGATTTACTTATACTTTCTAGCAAACAGAATATTCTGCAAAATACTGAACACATCTTTGAATGTATTAAATGCAGGAAAAAGGGGAGTGGGTGTCATGGTGCAACAGGTTAAACCACCACGGGATGCCATATCAGAATCTTGGCAACTCTACTTCTGATCCAGCTCCCTGCTAATGTGCCTACGAAGCAGCGGATGATGATTCAAATACCTGGGTCCCTGACACCCATGTTGAAGATCCAGATGGATCTAAAAGCAGTGCCTGGCCTGCTCTGTCAGTTTTACAAATGACAGTTTTACAGAGCCACTGACAGTTTTACACATGGAAAAATATGTATTGTGTTGCATTGTCAGAAAAAAACACTAGAGTTTAGTGTTGTGGCACAGTGAATTAAGCTGCTGCCTACAAAGCCAGAGAGAGTACTGGTTTGGGTCCTGGCTATTCTATTTCTAGTTCAGTTTCCTGCTAATATACTGTACTTTAATGACAACAGATGATGGCCCAAGTACTTGGGACCGTGCGACTCACGTTAGAGAAGAGGTGGAGTTCATGACTCCTGCTTCAGCCTGGTCTATTGCAGGCTATTGCAGTTATTTGGAGAATGAAATCAGAGGATAGAAGACTTCTTTCTCACATTGCCTTTCATCTTAGAAAAAGCACTATAAAGAAATTATATTTTGTTACTATATTTGATATCCTTCTAATCATAAGAATCACTCTACCTCCAAACATGGACGGGCCTTCATAGGCTGGCCGGTCAGACTTCCGGTCATAGGATGGCCTATCAAACCCCCCTCTTCTGGAGGAAGAATGGTCTTTTTTGTCTCGATACGACTGAGTCCTAGAAGGTAAAACAGGAGATGCTTTGGCAAACAAAACACCAGTGGGAGTCCCTGTCTTAGAATGTAATACAATCATTTGCCCAATCTTCTCTCCAGACAGTTTCTACACTTAGCCAAGGTGTATATTTGCTTTTGATTTTTGACTTAATCTGTTTCACAAAAATATCTAAAAAGCTCAAAAATTGCAAACATTAATCAGTTACCTACTAATTAAGACATGAATGCCCCTAAACTGACAATAACATTTCCTTTCCTTTCTGTCTCCATTTCTTATTTAATTCTCTGTAATTCAAGCTAGCAAACCTCCGTTACCTACTTTTCTGAACACTCGTTCATAAACATTCTTCCCTTCCCAGATTAGACATCCACACGCACGAGAAAATGCCATCAACTACATTTCCTTTAAATATCCTGACTTTTGCTGAACTGCTGCCACCCAGTAACTTGCACACCTGCTGAAGACATTTTTGGTAGCACACCTGTCATCTCGGGGGCGGCGCTCTCTGTCAAAGCGATCACGGTCATACTCGATAACACCACGATCCCGCTCTCGATCTCTATGTGTCTCTCGATCTCTTTTAAAATCCCGATGATCTGCTATAATATTACTTTGACGATCAAAATAAGGCTCACGGTCCCTGTCCCTATCGTAACGATCACGTTGGCCTGCATGCTCTATAAAAACAATTAGCACAAACAACAATTATATCCCTTTTTCAGCAAGAAAATTGGAAAAGCACAAATCTAACTTTAGAACTATGATAAACTGCTGCCTTAAATCCAGTAAGATTTTATCCACAATAAAAGAAGGCCCTCATAATCTCACCAAGAGGAAATTGGTATTACAGTGTGGGCCTAAAATGCGTAAAATACTACTCTTGGGAGCTGGAGCCATGGGTCACTGACTAAATCCTCACCTTGCAAGACTTAAGATCCTATACAGGTGCCGGTTCTAATCCTGGCTGCTCCACTTCCTATGCAGCACCCTGCTTATTGCCTGGGAAAGCAAAGATGGCCCAAGTCCTTGGGTTCTTGTACTCATGTGGGGATCAGAAGTAGTCCTGGCTCCTGGCTTCGGAATGACTTAGCTCAGGCCTTTGCAGCCATTTGGGGAATGAACTACTGAACGAGAAAACTGTCTCGTTCTCTCTGTAATTCTGCCTTTCCAAAAAAAAAAAAAATCTTAAAATCTACATCAAAACCTACTCTAGGTGCCCATGCAATAATACAATGGGTTAAGCCAACACTTGCAACGCTGGCATGCTATTTGGGTGCTGGTTTGAGTCCTAGACGTTCCACTTATGATCTGGCTCCCTGCTAATTTGCCCGGGAAAGCAGCAGAGGACAACCTCTGAGGGTGGGTCCCTAGACCCACATGACACACAGATGAAGCTCTTGGCTTCCGTCTCATCATTTGGGAGTGTATCAGCAGATGGAAGATCCTTCTTTCTCTGTTTCTCCCTCTAATTCTAATTTTTTTAAAAAATAAATCTATTCTGGGCCCGGCGCGGTGGCGCAAGTGGTTAAAGGTCCTCGCCTTGCACGCCCGGGATCCCATATGGGCGCCGGTTCTAATCCCGGCAGCCCCGCTTCCCTTCCAGCTCCCTGCCTGTGGCCTGGGAAAGCAGTCGAGGACGGCCCAAAGCTTTGGGAACCTGCACCCGCGTGGGAGACCCGGAAGAGGCTCCTGGCTTCGGATCGGCATAGTATCGGCCTGTTGCGCTCACTTGGGGAGTGAATCATCGGACGGAAGATCTTCCTCTCTGTCTCTCCTCTCTGTATATCCGCCTTTCCAATGAAAAAATAATAAAAATAAATCTTTAAAAAAAAAAATAAAATAAATCTATTCTGACTCTGATAGTTAAATGTTTTTTTTTTTTAAGATTTTTATTATGTTTTTATTGGAAAGGCGGATATACAGAGAGGAGAGACAGAGAGGAAGATCTGTTGTCCAGTGAGTCACTCCCCAAGTGAGCGCAACGGCCGATGTTATGCCGATCCGAAGCCAGGAGCCTCTTTCAGGTCTCCCACGCGGGTGCAGGGTCCCAAAGCTTTGGGCCGTCCTCGACTGCTTTCCGGGGCCACAGGCAGGGAGCTGGAAGGGAAGCGGGGCTGCCGGGATAGAACCAGCAACCATATGGGATCCCGGGCGTGCAAGGCGAGGACCTTAACCACTTGCGCCACCGTGCTGGGCCCTAATTCTAATTTTCAAATAAATACATAAATCTTTAAAAGATAAAATTTAAAAAGTTACTACTCTCTCTGGAAATCCTACCTGTCTCAAAGGTTGACCTTTCTGGTAGTGGATCTGGGCGCAGAGTTATTCTTTCTCCATAGGGTATCTGCTCAACTTTATTTGAGGACATATCTGGTAAACAAAACCAGAATAAAATATAACCATGAGCTTAAGGAAACAGTGAACGCTTAAGATCTAAGGCTAATAATTGCCACAGAAACCCAAATGTCAGCGCACTACCATTACTCACCTCGACCATGGCCATAATCAACAGTCTGCTGCACAGGTGGAGGCTTGGACATTGGTGGCATACCTATAGGCATCGGGCCAGGAGGTGGCATGGAAGGGTGAATAGGTGGGGGTGGTAACACTGGAGCAGGTGGAATAGGTGTCGTTTCTGCCTTAAATTCTGAATTTAATCCTTGTTCATCATTGGTATCCCAGAGCCCATAGAAAGAATCTTCATCCCAGCGTTCCTGTTCCACAGCTGCACTCTGTGGTTTCATCACTGGAGGTGGAGGCGGAGGCGGAGGTGGCAGAGGAGGAGGTATTGGGACAGGAGGTCTGGTCAGAGGAACAGACGATCTTGGTGGAGCAGGGGGTCTGACAATTGGACCTGGTGGTTTGCCCATGGGAGGGGGTGGCCTATAGGATCCTGGAGGCTGGAGAATAGAGCAAATGGTTTAGTGGATGAGCACATGGCAATCTTTTCCCAGACTAGCAGAAATTAAAATCAGGTTCTGACACATAAAAGAAAAAGTTAGGAGTGGAATCGTTACACAGAGGATTGAACCACTGTCTACGACATTAGCATCCCATATAAGCACTGGTTCAGGCCTGGCTGCTCCATTTCTAATCCCAGCTAATGGTCCTGATCCAGGCACATCCAAGATGACTTTCTTATTGCGCCAGGGCCCAGATACATGACTCTTAGAACTCAGTTAAAAAAAATTAGTGAGATATATTTGAAGAGTTATGTCTCCAAAGCAGATATTTTAAGGTCAATAAGCACAGAAAAAAATACTCAGTCATTAGAGAAATGCAAATTAAAATCATAAGGCAGTACCATTTCATAAACAAGAAAAACTCTAATAAGACAGATTAAAAGCAAAGAATGCCAAGGAAATGTTACTACATTAGAAAATAGTTTTGTCATTCTGAAAGCATATGGAAATATCATTCCTAGGCACTATCCAAGAAAAATAAGAACATATGCTGACCTAAAGACTGCATACAAATATTCACAGCAGCATTAGGCAACAACCCTAATGTCTGTCAACTGGTGAATGGATAAACAAAATGTAGTGGGGCCTGTGTGATGGCTCAATGGCTAACAAGAGGCAACACCCAACTCCCTGCTTGTGGCCTGGGAAAGCAGTAGAGGATGGCTCAAAGTATTGGGGCATGAACCCGCATGGGAGACCTGGAAGAAGCTCCCAGCTCCTAGGTCCTAGCTTTGGACTAGATCAGCTCCAGCCATTGTGGAAACAGCAGATAAAAGATCTTTCTCCCTGTATTTCCTTCTCTCTATAAATCTACCTTTCAAACAAAATAATTTTTTATGTAAAAAACAAGAAACTGCTCTGTATATTATCATTCTCTCCATTATGTACCACATCCTTTCTTTCCTCCCCTTAATTCAAACTAGGGTAGTATTCATCTAGAATCTAACGTTTCAGGCCAACCCTTTGGGTTGAATTTCTGTGTCTGGGGTCCTGGCCAATCGTTCCTCCTCATTTTATTTTAAAGATTTATTTATTTTTATAACAAAGCCAGATATACAGAGGAAGATCTTCCATCCAATGGTTCACTCCCCAAATGGCTGCAATGGCTGGAGCTGTGCCAATCTGAAGCCAGGAGCCAGGAGCTCTTCCAGGTCTCCCACATGGGTACAGGGTCCCAAAGCTTTGGGCCGTCCTCAACTGCTTTCCCAGGCCATAAGCAGGAACGTGGATGGGAAGCAGGGCCGCCGGGATTAGAACCTGCGTCCATATGGGATCCCGGCGTGTTCAAGGAGAGGACTTTAGCCACTACACTATCGCGCCAGGCCCTTATTTTATTTCTTAATGTATTTTATATTATGATTATTATTTTACAAAGTGGCTCCATAGGCTCTGGGCTGCCCTTATTTTAAAACAAAAACCAAACCTTCACAATAACTATGATGTTCACCCACTTGATTAAGAACTTTAGCTACAGCCCAACATGGTAGGCTGGTGGATAAAGTCCTCGCCTTGGATGTGCTGGGATCCCATATGGGAGCCAGTTCTAATCCCGGCAGCTTCCTGCTTGTGGCTTGTGAAAGCAGTCGAGAACGGCCCAAAGCCTTGGGACCCTGCACCCATGCGAGAGACCTGGAAGAAACTCCTGGCTCCTGGCTTCAGATCAGCTCAGCACCGGCTATTGCAGCCACGTGGGGAGCAAATCAGCAGATGGAAGACCTTTCTCTCTGCCTCTCCTTCTCTCTGTAAATGTGACTTTATAATAAAAAAAAAAAAACAAAAAAACAAAAAAACCCAGCTATGAACTTCTTCCCACCCTCAGCTCCTTAAACAAAAGCAGTAACTTTCTAGATGAGAAATGCAGTATAAAAGGCCTCTGGAAAGCTACTTCTTCTTCTTTTTTTTTTTAAAAAGATTTATTTATTTTTATTGCAGTCAGATATACAGAGAGGAGTAGAGATGGAGAGGAAGATCTTCCATCCAATGATTCATTCCTCAAGTGGCTGCATTGTTAAGGAGCATCTTTATGGAGGGAAAGTGTAGCACAAGAACAGAGAAGCAGGACGTGAAGAACAGAGAAGCAGGACGTGAAGAGCAGAGGTCAGTCAGGCCAGCTTTGGAAGCTCACAAAGAATCATGCAAAGCACTCAGATTTTAAAAAAATCACACACACACACACACACGTATAAATGCATGAACGTGCACACAATGCAGAGTGTGAGCTTCCATCTGCTGGCTCACTCCCCATACGTCACAATAGCCATGCCTGGGACTATAACCCAGTTCTCCTTGGTGGGTGGCAGGAGCCCAGTTACTTGAGCTATCACACTGCCTCTACAGCATGCACTAGCAGGAACCTGGAATGAGCCGTTGGGAACTGAACCCATGTGCTCTGATGTGGGATGCAGGCATATTAGCCACTAGACAGCCTTTCTAACAAGGTAAGCATCTTTAAAAAACAGAAGTTTTGACCCCACACCATAGCCTAGAGGCTAAAGTCCTTGCCTTGCACATGCCAGAATCCCATATGGTGCCAGTTCTAATCCTGGAGGCTCCACTTCCCATCCAGTTCCTTACTTGCTGCTGGGAAAGCAGTTGAGGATGGCCCAAGACCCTGAGACCTTGCACCTACATGGGAGATCCAGGAGAGGCTCCTGGCTTTAGACAGGTGCAGCTCTGGCTGTTGTGGCCACTTGGGGATCGAATCAACAAAGATCTTCCTATCTATCTCTCCTCTCTGAGTATCTGCCTTTTCAGTAAAAATAAATCAAATCTTTAAAAATCTAAAAAGAAAAGTTATTTTAGGCAAAAATCACATCAACACAGTCTGGAATATGAGAGCAGTCCTTACTAAAACTAAGAGTTTGAGAGAACTTTTTGAAATAATGGATATTTTCTTTACTCCTTGGTATTTACTCACCAAAATTCAAACTACAGGTTTCAAATGGATATATGCTACTATATGTAAATTCTACCTCAAATTTTGATTCAAAACATCAGATAGAAGCAGGCACTGTGGCACCATATGTTAAACCACTTCATGTGATGCCCACGTCCATACTGGAGTGCCTGCTTTAAGAGTCCTGATGCATCCTGGGAGGCAGTAGATGACAGACCAAACACTTGTGCTCCTGCTGTATCTGTAGAAGACCCAGATGGAGTTTTTGGCTCCTGACTTCAATCTGGCCTATCCTTGGATGTTGCAGATGTTGTCTTTCATGAAGATGAAAGACAATATTTGTGAAGTCATCTAGGCAAGAACTGAGATTATAGCCATATCTGAAGAGTATTAAAAAAGGTATTAAAAAGATAGCAAAATGATGCATAGGACAGAGAAAAGAGATGAGGCACATTTTCAGGTTTTGAGTGATTATCAGTAGGAAAAAGAACAGTTTAATCAGAGACAATTGTGAGATCCCTTCTGAGCATGTTGTGTTTGACCAGAGACAGAACTACAGACAGGATATGGTGTCAACAACTGCGCATGAGTGTAACACGTTAGATCAAAATGGAAAAGAATATTGAGAAATGAAGCTATTTTGACAACATGGCTCAACAGTCATTTTTCAATGTGTTACCATTAAATTATTTGCATAATTTAAAAGAGTATCACTGGCTTAAAGGTTAATCACAAGCAAGAGAAACAAATTTCAAAGCAAAACAAAATATAAGCACCACTTTCTACAATACAGTGAACAGTAGTAAAGTAGGTAGTGCGGTGTGATATTGGATGCCTTCTGTGGCTGGTGTGCTGCTAGTTGAAATGGGCAGGTGTCAACTACAGGTTCACATCTAATCCTGCCTCAATGGACTTGAAACACCTCATTAGGAAAATGCTACAATTCTGCAAACATGAAGCCATACAGTTCACTTCGCTTGATATCCACCTCAAAACCTGGGAAGAAGAGCAACTTCTGCCACGTTTTTGACTACACCCAAGATGTGAAAAAGTCAATTACTACTATTTTTTCAAAATGTACACCTTCCACAAATATTTACGCTTCTTGTAACAGGAAAAAAAATCAAACAGCATTTAAATGTACCCATCTCATTGTCTGAGAACACCTTTTCCCGTACCGGGTACATGGTGGGTCTTGACGCATTCTGTAATCTTGAGTCCTGCGGCGGTGGGTGGTCAGCCATCTGTGGCTCACACCCAAAGTCCTTCATTTTTTGAAGCTGTTCTTTCTGTTCCCTGTAAACGATAAAATCACCACTGCACATAAGGCACATTTATTCCATTCCTAAATGACTACAGTTAGTATCAAAACTTAAAAAGAGGAGAGAGAGAAAGCTCAAAACCTGGCCCTACAACCCTCAGCAGTGCCCAGATCACACATCTAGGTAGCTACTCCTGCTTTCATGCTGTTAACTCATCAGTTATATGTGATATGTAATTATATATTATTGAGATATTCCAGATCCCACAATTTGCTTCTTCAACAGTAATTCTAACATATCATCTACTTGTCAGGTTTTTCTTTCATTCAACCAAAACCTCTATTATTTTTTTTTAATTATACTTTAGATCAGAGAATGCAAAATGGTCTAAAAAAAGTTCTTTACTGGGCATTCACATTAATTCTATAAGCTTGAATTGATTGCTCTTATTTACTAAGCAAAATATTTCACATATAAACTCTAATTCTAAAGAGATTTGTAACATAAAGCTTATGTGCCTAGATGCCAACAATGAACCAAGCGGAGCAGTAGTTACACATGTTAAAGAGTTTTCCATAATTCCCACCACACTACACTGCTCCACTTTTACCCATTTTTGTTAACTTTCTGATTATTGTGGATATTTTAATCATAGGCCAAGGCACAGAAGAAGAACAAATGTTAGCCTAATTATGTAGTCCTAGGTTTTTCTTTAAATTCTAGTTAAATCCTCTCCCCCCTTTTTTTCTTACCAAGCCTACGTCAAACATGTTTAACTCTCTACAGCTTTCTAAAACCATTGCGAATTCCTGCTCACAAATTACACAGTGAAGTGGTCCAAAGGGACATAAGGTAACACTTTAAGTATATAAGATTATTTTCAGCTTCAAGTGAATCACATTCCTGTGATACTACCTACAGCTGCACCCCAATGCAACATAATCCATTTCTATTCACCTACATCACTGGTAATGATTCTTTCATTTATTTTAATTATGTTCATGTTGCCTAGACAGAGCTTTACACAAAAATTTTAAGCAAGGGAGTGTGGGGGGGAAAATGATGAAGAAGAAGCACCTTTTACCCAGCCAAAGCAGTAGTGGATGAAAAGGAAATTTTAAAAAAGGAAAGTAAAGAAATCCTGGCAGGTTAGCAACAGCAATCAGCCTGATGTTCTCCAAATATCAAACAGATCTTACAGAAGAACAGAGTCTGAATTCTTAGTTTGCCACTTGATGGTGGAGTAAACTTAGCTTGTCTGAGCCTTTGTGTCATTTGTGAAGTGGAGGTGATTCCACTTATCTTGGCAGGCCTTTGAGAGATATAAAGATTTGAGATTATAAGAGCATTGAGACAATACCCTTAAGTTATTAGCACAGTGCCTGGCACACAGTAGGTGTCAATCAGAGGTATCCACAGTTCAGATGAGAACAGGGCAGCAGCTAAACATTCTGACACGCTTTCCACAACTTGCTCATGATGGATCTGGCAAGAATAAACCTCTCATACTGTATTCTCCAGAGGCAACAGAGCCTGTTTCACTTCCTGAGGCAAGGGGTCTTTCATCTGTTGTCCGAATAAATGTCCTTCCTCATACTTTCCTAGACCTAAGATTTCTATTAAAATTTCTATTGCATAATCCACAAGTATAAACCAAAACAGAAAGATGAAAGTACCCCATTACATTAGAATCTATTCAAAACATATTCATTTTAACTTATTTTCTCAAAAAAATTGCTTTAAAAGCTATCATGGACTTAACTTCCTCTCTTGGGATATAGTTGGTTTAAGGATTACATGAGTTATTATACAAACACTTTAGATCAGTTCCTGGTAGAGTTAAGCATGCAGTGTTAGCTTTGTTATCATTGCCACTACACGGGAAACATTACTTAGATACCAATACATGGCTGATTGTAAGTCAAGAAATCCAAATTTTTATTTTTCACAAACATCTGATTATAAACACACAAGTAAAACCCTCAAGTAGAAAATATCTGATTCATTGTAACGAAAAGATAACTAAAAAGAAAGTACCAAAAGTTAGACAAACCTGGGGATGCTCCCAAGTGAATCACTCAACAGAGAAAAAAAATACAGCACTTTCCAAAGTTTCTTATCAAAGATTAGTGAACATAAAGTCTAGCAGATTTAATACCAAAGGAAAAAAAACTGCCTACTGGAAAGAGGACGTTAGGTAGGAGCCCTGAGAGGCCCACGGCCTGAGAAGGTCAAGGTTGATACTTGAAACATGCACAGGCATGGCAGGGCAGCAGCACAGGGACAAGGGTCAAGAACAGCAAGCCTTTCTCACACCTCGGGCACAGGTGTGAGAACACAGCTCCCAAACACCCACCCTAGCCCTAAAATGTGCTGGATGATGAGAAACAGAAATTAAAAGGATGGGACAGGAACTTGAAGTAAAAGGATTCCATTCAAATACATCACGTCACTTTAAAAAAGAGCAGTCTGAATTGTGGTGTTGAGTTAAAAAAAAAAAAAAAAGAAAGAAAGAAAAAGAAATGATCTTAAGGTGTCAACTTACCGAAGCATTTTCAGTTCTTGTGCAGCTTTCAAAATGATTTCGTGCTGCCTCTGACTGAGAACCATCACCCCTCCAAGGCCTTGATCAGAGTCTAAGTTTGCATCGGACCCCATCATTTCAGAGGAGTGATGTGAGGAGGTCACATGCTCCGCCATGGGGGAATGTCTCTCCACATCAGATGGGTACCATCTGTCTGACAACCGTTCTCTTTCCCAGTCCATTCTGTCAGGAACATAATCTCGCTTTTCCCGCCATGTATCTCCTCTTTCTGGATACTCTCGGATTCTCAACTCACCCCTATCACGGAAATCTCGATCATACCCATGGTCTCGATTTCTTTCTTCTCTCCATCTATCATCCCGATATCTATCCAGAGATGGAAGAGGTGGGAGGGGTGGTAAAGGCGGAAGAGACGGAATATCACGTTCATGAAACTGTGATTCTTGTTCATCCAGTGGTCTCCCATAATCTCTGTCCCACTCATTATCCAGATTTCTATCATATAGCTCCATGGGTCTTCCGATTCGATCCACATCCCTATCCAGGTCCCTGTCCATTTCCCTATTGTACTCCTCGTCCATATCCTGGTCTCTTTCCCAATCATCCCACCAAGGGCCTCGCCTATCTCCGTCATGAGATCGAGATGGGGGCCCTGAGAACCTGTCCTCTCTGTTATAGGGATCTAGTGTATCATCTTGATAGTCATGCTCACACTCTCTCCAGTACCTTTCTCTGTCCCAATCGTCAAGTCTCTCTCGGTCTACTGGAGCATTTCTACCATCTAATGGGAACTCTTCATGCCCTCTCTCTTCCCCGTGGTTCCATGGAGCCCTAGGAGGCTCATCTCGGTGGTATGGATACATTTTTTCCCCACCATCTCCTGGTTCTGGTCTAAACGGGCCTCTCTCACGACCAAAATCTGGTCTTCCCAGGCCCCTTTCCCGACTGCCAGGCCCTCGAGGAGGTCCCCTTTCCCTGCTCCCAGCTCTGCGAGGTGGTACTCTCTCCCTACTCCCAGCCCTTCGAGGGAGACCTCTCTCCAGACTTCCGGCCCTCCGAGGTAGCCCCCTTTCCCGGCTACCTGCTCTACCCCTTTCCTGGCTGCCTTGCAGACCACCTGGCATTTTCTCCCGACTGCTTCCTGGTCTCATCAAACCCCTCTCCCGGTTGCCTTCTCCTCTGTTCATCTTCTGACTGTCTTCTCTCCTGCCCATCATCTTATCACGAAAATCTTCTGGTTTGACCAACCCTGGACCTCGATTAATTGGCTGGCCACGCCCTCTGTTTACTAGTCCTTTGTCTCGTGTATCTTCCATCCTACTTTGCCCTGGACTTCTGTAAGCTGAGCTGCTCCCTCGATTGCCTTCTAACCTATTATCTCTGCTATCTAGCCGGGGCAACCCTTTTTCTTGGCTGTTTTCTGAATGGGGTAGATCAATGCCCATAGGTTTAAAATCACTATCTGTAGTTACTGATGATGATGGTGCTACTGCTGCTCCTCCCTCCATCCCCCCAGCTTTTGAGGGAAAAGTAGATTGAGTAGGTACAGGTTTATTTGCAAGAGATACAGGCTGAGTAACAGCTTGGGCTTTGTCCATGTGAGTGTCCACACTTTGAGAATTCGGGTCCCAGTCAGAAGGCTCTATGGGCCCTTCCGAGACTTCGCTTTTAGGTGGCTCTTGTTGAGAGTCGCTTAGATTCTCATCTGCCTGAGCCGCCTTGGCATCCTTTACATCTGCAGCCACGGGAAATGCAGCTGATTGCATTTTAAAATTCTTCTGATGGTTACTATTGGTGTCTGCTAATGGTTCTTTGCTTCCTGAAAGAGGCTCTGCTTGTGACTTAGGCTGCTGCTGCTGTTGCTGTCCAAAAGCTGGTTTGGGGCCTTTCCACTGTGGTCCACTCTGTCGAGGACTTAGGGATGTATTGGGGGTAATATAAAATTGAGATGCTGGCCCCCGGGGAATCATTCCCCATTTGCTTTTAGTGCCCTCTGCTGGGTGACCTTCATATCTGGGTCTTGGCCCATCTGGGCGATTTCCTTCAAAACGAGGCCCTTTGGGTCTCGGTCCTTCACACCTTGACCCTAAATCCTCAAATCTTCGAGGACCATCAAATCTACAAGTAAAACAAAAGATATTACTCAAGACAGTAAAGCAGAAAAAAAATTCTCCATGTAAGTATATTTAAGACACTCTTGTCTTAGAGTTTGTTTACAACAATGACTCTTGCAGCCATTAGCAATTCTGAGCCACCTCTACATTCAAACCAGGCTGTTAAGGTGGCAGTGCTCAGAAGGTCTCAGGACAAGCTTTGGAAATCATGTCAGTATTATTAATCCACTTCAACACATTTCCTGTAGCAAGTCACAAATATGCTTAATCGTTAAAAAGCCATGACAAACATTGTTGTCTTAAAAACAGCAAAGCCCACTCATTTTAAATGAAAAAATATTCAACAAACTGCATAACTAATTCTGAGTACTTAATTTAAAACAAGAAAATATAGAGTGGTTACAAATATCATTGGAGCAAGCACTCACACCTTAACAGACACAATTTTAGAAGAAAAAAAAAACAGACATATTTTAAGAGTGTGCACTGACATTTTAAAAAGTCTACACAGAGATGTATTCTGCTAGGAAGCCACTCAGTCGGTAAATATTTATTGCACATCTCCTGTCTGTCAGGCACTGTACTATTTTCCAAGAGATTTAGGAGTGACATGTCATCTGTGATCCCAAAGAACTTACAATCAAGCACAAAGGGAATCTAAGCATAAGTAAGTGCCAACTGATGGAATGGTTAACACAGATCTGCAAACAAAGCAACAGAGAAGGGCACAGCCAATGGCACCGGGCTGGGGGTTGGGATGAAGGGGAGGAGGAGCAGAGTGCTGTCCAGTAAGGGCTGCAGGTGAGTGCAGAAAGACAACCCCTCAGAGAGCAGGCCCAGAGCATGTGGCAGATGAGAACATAAGGTGGCCAGAGGGCAGAGAAACACAAAGCAACAGAGCAGAGTTGAGCAGGAGAGATGGGGCTGAGGGAGGAATGGAAAAATCAGCACATAAACAAACAGGAAAGAAAGCATCAGTCTTTAGAGACCTGGCAGGTCTCCTGTGACACAACCTGCTACTGCTCCTCCAAACACCCACTCCACCATTCTTGGACAGAGCCTGACACAAGGCCGCCCAGGCTAGAGACGCTCATTTCCAACTTCTCTTACAGGGCAAGGAACGAAATGAAAATGAGTTATATATCTTTCTGGAAGGAGGCACATCTTCCTCTTTCTCATTTTCTTTTTCATGTTATCTCAGGACCGTGGAATCAGAGACAACATACTGAGGGGTGGCTAAGATACAAACCAGAAAGAGTCTGGATTTCTGACACTGCACATCTTTCATGTAAGTTCTAAGATATATATATAGTTCACAAACATATAAATTGTTAAAGCTACCTGCTTCTGGATCTACTAAACAGATGAATTCTACAGGTTAAGGAGTTTAGAATTGCCTTCTAAAAGCCCTTAAAGCCACTAAACATGATTTTGAAAAGATGGCTTTAGCAGAAAAAAAAGAGAGCAGTAAAATTTTTTTAAATTATTTTTTCATTTCAATAGGAGAAATGGGAGAAGAGAAAAGGGACAGAGAGACTGAATGAAGGAATAAATATCTTCCACCTCTTTGTTTACTTCTTAAATGCTAACAGCAGCTAGGGTCGGACTAGGCTAAAGCCAGGAGCCTAGAACTCAACCCAAGGGTGGCAGGGACCCAAGTACCGGAGCCATCACTTAAGCTCTGCCCGAGCAGGATGCTGGAACTGGAAGCAGGTCCAGCACTCAAATTCAAGCTCTACAATGGAATATAGGCAATCCAAGTGACACCTCATCCACTGCATCAAACACCCATGTGATGAGCGAAAAGAATTCAGACTATTTCTACAATCTGAGTAGCTTAAGATGAGACCTACTCTCTTAAAAAAAAAGTGTTTACTTTCAAAGGCAGAGAGAGATCTTATCTTCCATCTACTAGTTCATTCCTCAAATGATTGTAGCAGCTGGGGCTGGGTCATGCTGAATCCAGGAGTCAAGAACTTTACCCAGGTGGCAGGAACCCCAAATATCAAGCAGGCCATCACCTGCTGCCTCTCAGGTGCATTACCAGGAAGCTGGATCAGAAGCGGAGATGGAGCTTAATTTCAGGCACTTTGATATGGGATACAGGCAACCCAAACAGTGGCTGAACTCAGTTATACCACAACACCCACCCTGGAGATGTCTACTCTACCATAGTAACTGATATAATGATTCAGAGGAGGGGATAGAAGTGAGATGTCCAAGAACGTAGAACTTACAGGATTCTCTAAGGGGGAAAGAGGGGAATAGTGATAAGAAAAGGGAGGAATTTAGGATGCTTCCAACTGCTCAGAAGACTGAGTGGCCAGTGATAACCTTTCATGCTTTTAAAGCCAGTAACACGGCCTGTTTAACTTGGGGAATCAATGAACAATAAACTTATTTTAGCGAAAAATAAAAAAATAAAATTCATCCCTGTGACTTAAGGCTTTGCTGGTGTAACACTTTAGCCAGAGAATATAGCAAGCATTCTATGAAGCTGACGTTGAGACTCTGGAAAGGGTTTACTGTACTGAATGGGAGTGACTAAGCCTGATTTTGGAAGGGACACTTGGGTCACTGTGACACAAGGCGGGTAAGAGAGTACGTCTGAATGAAATACAAGAGATCTTTGAGGATGCCTTGCAGCACGTCCTGAGATTACAGTCTGCAGACAGGAATCCAACCAACCAAAGAACCAGGACCAGGTGAGCTGCTTGCTGAGAACAAGGGGAGCATGGAACAAGTATGGAAGAGTTATGACTACATGACCAGCTGTAGAAATAACATTACAATGTTTATAAATATCTCTTCCTTAATTTAATGTGTTTCCCATTATACTGTAAAGTATTTTGGGTTCACCCTGCTTTTGTTCCTTATCATTTAATGTAAAGTATGCTAACAGTTACCTTTCTATTTCAGCATTTATATTATGGAAAATCCAAAACAAGGAATGTGACCCAGATAGAAAAACGAATGGCAGCCCCCTCAAGACTTCGTATTCTCTTCCAAGCAAAGGGTTACAGAGGCTTTAATGGTCCAGGGATACGTGCTTTACATCAGGTACAAAAACTTCCCTGTGGTCTGCACTGATTAGAAAAAAGTTAGAAAAGGAATTCTAGGAAATGTACTTCTGCACAGCCAGGTCAACACGTTACAAACCAATACAAGGAATTTAAAAATAAAATAACCCACACTAAATAGAGAAGGGGCTAACAGTAGTTAGGAACCTTTTAAATTCCATATGCAAATATGAGTAATAACTTACAGAGCTGAAAGAAGCTGTGACTTAGGGTACTGGCAGCAAATGGGCACAAAATAAAAGGTAGGCCAGGCTTTTCAGACACCATGGGTGCTGAGGAAGAACAGGAGTGAAACTTGGGGCTAAAAACATGTCAACTATGCCCAGCATGGTGGCCTAGCAGCTAAAGTCCTCGCCATATGGAAGCTGGTTCTAACCCCGGCAGCCCTGCTTCCCATCCACGTTCCTGCTTGTGGCCTGGGAAAGCAGCCAAGGATGGCCCAAAGCTTTGGGAACCTGCACCCGCATGGGAGACCCGGAAGAGCTCTTGTCTCCTGGCTTTGGATTGGCGCAGCTCTGGCCGCTGTGGTCACTTGGGGAGTGAATCAGCAGAAGGAAGAGCTTCGTCTCTGTCTCTCCTCTTCTCTAAATAGCTGACGTTGTAATAAAAAGAAATAAATCTTTAAAAAAAAAAAAAGGTCAACTAACATCCACATATAGAACCATAAACCAGCCTTTCCCTAAGCTAAATGTCTCTAAATTCCTGCATCTGGGAATTCCCTAGCAGTATCTGACAGTTCTTGGCCCTATCACCTAAAACAAAACTTCAAGGCTGGCATGCATCTTCCAGACACACAGGGCCCCATCCTTCAATACACTGAAAGAATTAAAAGTCAAGGTGTATCAGTACAACGAAACAAGAGACAAAGACAACCAATTCATTGGACCCAAAGAAATTTCTCAGGGTTAAGACACATCACTCTCCAACAAAATCTATAGCCAAATTACTAGTCAAGTGTAAGGTAAGGATAAAAACTTCTTCAGACAAAAGAGAACTCAGAAAAACAATCTTGCTATCCACACTTTGTAAGTCCTACCAAGAAGCCAAAGACTCCATGGCAAATACAAGTCAGAGGGTGGCCAAGGGAGATGCAGTGCTGCCAGCCACGTGTCAGTCCAGGAATGAGGATGCCTCATTTTGTGAAACGGATTGGATTTCTCCCAGGAGAGGGAGGAGATGGTGCTTTCAAGAGTGGGTGTGGGAGAATATTTGAAAGGATAAATGATGAGAAAAAGGAGAAATGGAAAATCTCAAAAAAAAAGTTACACAAAAGAAAATGTGATGCTGGTATCCTACTCAGCTCTACAACATGCATTTATCAATATCACAGTCTTTTCAGCAGTGATAGAAATATATTGAGGAGATGGAGTTAGACAGCAGAGGAAGAATGAAACCTTTATCAGAACAGGAAGTAAATAGATCTAAATTGGTAAGAGAGCAGCAGGATAGTACTGAGGGTTTGAAGCTAGTTCCCAAAAGAGAGCTGAAAAACCCAGAGAAACTGCCATTGGAAAACACATCTAGGGCTGTGCAGAGCAGCAAAGGGCCATTTCATTTGATTTATTTTTAAACCATATCAACATAAAGGCAAACTTCAATAAAAATGTAAATGTTTTTAAAAGCACAGAAAGGACCAGGCATTTGGTCTAAAGGTTAACACACTGGTATGCCCACAGCCCATATGGGAGGTCTTGCGTTAGAGTTCCAGCTGCACCCATGATTCTACCTTGTACGCAAGGTACCCCTTGCAAGGGAACATGTGATGGCTCAAGTAGATGGGACCTTTCACACACACACACGAGTTCCTAGCTTCTGACTTTGGCCTGGCCCAGCCCTAGCCATTGCAGGAATCTGGGAGTAACCAGCAGATGGGCATAGTCTCTGTTACTCCACCTCTTTCGGGAACCAGGGGCAGGGGGAGAAA